TTGGCCATTCACTTCTGAAATAAAAGGTCTTTGAAATCCCTATCAATAATAGAGCACACTTAGACTAGATTAGCAGAGCCTTCATATTAGGAAACGCAAAAGGGGAGGAACAGTTGCAATCAAATACTATTTATTTGAATGTAGAATGTGAGAAGTATTAATGTAGGAAAATTGGATATTGTTAAGGAAAACACAAATAAAAACATAAATAGTGACATACTAGGCATTGGTGAAATAAGATGGATTGGTACTGGACATTTTTAATCAGACAATCATATGTTCTACTATGTTGGAGATGAAAAAGTAAGGGGAAACAGAGTCACATTTATAGTTAAAAGACCCCTTCTAGATCTATCTTGAAATACAATGTTGTGAGCAACACGATAATATCCATACACATGCAAGGAAGACCTGCTAATACCCCTATAATTAAAATATATGCACCAACAACTAGAGCCTAAAAGGAGGAAATAGATGATTTATCCCAACTTTTGCAGTTGGAAATCAATTGAGATGCATTAATAATAATGGGTGACTGGAATACAAAAGTTGAAACAATGAAGGATCAGTAGTCAGAAAACATGGATTTGGTGACATAAATGAGGCTGGAGATAAAATGATAGAGTTTTGTACAATCAATGATATATTCATTGAAAACATCTTTTATAAGAAACAAAAATGACAACTATACACATGGACCTCACCTGACGATCTGTATAGAAATCAGATTGATCACGTCTGTGAAAAGAATAGTTTGAGATGCTCATTATCGGCTGTGAAAATTAGGCCAGGTGCTGACTGTGGCACAGACCAGCTACTCATATTCAAGTTCAAACTGAAGCTAAAGAAAATGAAAGCAAGTGCCCAAGAACCAAAATTTGACCTTCAGTCTATCCCACCTGAATTTAAAAACCATCTCAGGAACAGGTTTGAGGTCTTGAACACTTAACGAATGAAGACCAGATGAGCTAGTTTTCCATATCATCCATGAAGCATGCAAAACGTCATTATAAAGACAGAGGAGGAAGAAAAAACCAAGATGGGTATCAGAAGATAATCTGAATATTTCACTGCAGCACTGAGAAGCCAAAACAAAATGAAGAAATCAGGAAGTTAAGGAGATAAACAAAAGATGAAGACAAAGCAAAGTATTAGAGTGAAATGTGCAAACAGTTGGAGTTGGGAAATCAAAAGGGATGAACATGACTGACATTTCTTAAGCTGAAGGAACTGAAGAACAAATTCAAGCCTCTAGTTGCAATACTTAAGGATGCTATGGACAGAATATTGAATGAACCAGGAAGCATCAAAAAAGGCATTGAGAAAAGTGGATGGCATGATGATTTTATCCCATGGCTATATTTGTTCTAACTGTTGGTGCCATCAAAATAAATGAGAAATAACTGCCTTAGTTGAGCATACTGCAAGAGCACTGAGTAGCTCTGTTAATGGATGAGATCACCTAACAAGAAAAGTAGTGTTAACTGCTAACTGCTGCCCAAGGGGGATCATGTGCTATAATTCACACTGTTGTATGCTCACACCTAGTGATAAAGATAATGTAACCCAAGCTTCGTGCGAAGTTGAAAATACTTAACTCTTGATGATTTCCTACGGGAATGGTGATCCAGTCTCATGCACTTGGCAGTGACTGGCTCTGAGTAGCTTAGTCACAACAGCTACTGTTTTAGTTTGTGGATATTGTTTATTGTATTGTTGCTGTGGGCTCAAAGTATCACTTTATGGGCCTGAGCTTATGCAAAATCTGCTGTCTTGTCACACGTGGAGTGTGGGATATCCTAATGTGTGGTATATACACAACAGACAGATTTGGGTACTGTAATGTGTGCGGTATATACCTGTCAGATGGATTTGGGCTAAGCCACTGTCATGTTTGAGCAAGTGCAATAATGTTTTGCTGAATGAGTATTATGCAAAGCTACAAACAACAACAAAGTGTAACTGTACAGGTGCATGGTGTGATAAGGCTAGTGATTACTGTGCAAGTGTGGTTAGATGCCACCTTTGTTCTCAGCACTATAAGAACTTTGTGGGAAAACTCCTGTAGGGCTTGTGGCTTGCCTCTCTGCCCTACAGTCTGTGAGAAACAGAATAAAGTGATGTCTAAGATTACCTCAGCTTTTCGTGCTTTTTTTGCAATTGGCCACTGAACTGGAACATCTGACTTTGGCTGAGCACAGTATGTCAAATCTATTCTTGAGATGGTTTTTAAATTCAGGTTAGATAAACTCAAGGTCATATTTTGATTCTTATGGACTTGTTTTAATTTCTTCAGCTTCAATTTGAACTTGCATATGAGCACCTGGCATGGTTTTGATACAGACTTTCTCCAAAGATTCTTTCCGCAGATGTAGTCAATCAGATTTCCGTTTAGTCCACCATGTGAAGTCCATGTGTATGTTGTTGCTGTTGTTGTACTATTGAGTCAGAACTGACCCTCCAGCAAGTTTTCAGAGGCAATAAATCACATGAGAGGAAACTGTCCATCTTTCTCCCACAGAGCAGCTGGTGGATTTAAACCATATGCCTTTAGGTTGGCAACTCAGTTCCTTACCACTAAGCCACCACAACATAGAATACTAATAGTTTTGTGAAATACAATTAAATCAGCTACCAAAAAAATTAAATGAAACCAAGATACATAAGTAAAAGCAAAAATTTTCACTAGATTCAATAGATATATAATTATTCTGTCATATTGTGCAGCTTGTAATAAAAGTAAATACTTTTAATTTACTTATTTAACTTATAACAGACAAAAAAAAATCTGGTTTACCATATTTTGAGTAGCCCTTGATCAAAGAGAATAAATCTCAGCCTTTCCTTTGTTGCTTGCTATCAGGCTACACTTCTTAGTTTGTGGGGTGAATAAAATATGAGGTTATTTTTTCTAAACATCTGAAATTATGTGTTTTTAAAGGTATTTGCAATGAATAAACCATTTTTTGTGCAAAATTCTATTATGCAGGCTCCAGCCTCAATTCGGTCACCAAGGCCATATTTTCCAACTGCCAGTTCTTTTTTGTTTCCAACTTTGGCATTCTAATTCACAATTATGCTTAATGCATTTTGCTTGCATATTCAGTCAATTTCAGACTGCAAAAGCTAGTAGAAATCCTTACTTTCCTCATCTTTGATTTTAGTGGTGGTTATGCATATTTTAATAACAGTTGTACTAATAGGTTTCCTTTTACGGATATGGATCGTATCATTACTCACAGCACTGTGCTTCACAGAAGATCTTGAGATGTTCTTTTTTATTATGAATGAAATACCATTCCTGTTCAATATATTATTGAGTTGAATTATTAGAATATCTGGGGTAAATAATATATGAGAGCTCTGGTGGCTTAGTGGTAAGGAGTTGCACTGCAATCCCAAAGGCATGCAGTTTGAATCCACCAGATGCTCCATGGGAGAAGGATGGCCAATCTCCTCCTGTGCAATTACTGTCTCTGAAAACCTGCTGGAGAGTCAGCTATGGGTCAGTTCCAACTGGATGGTAGACAGCAGAAGCAACCTCAGATAAGAAGTTTTGGTCATATAGTGGTTAAGCGTTGTTTGATTTCACTATGGGAGACAGATGGACAGTCCCTTCCTGTTAGATTTATAGCCTCACAGAAGGTCTCCATGAGTTGGAACAGACTCAAAAGCAGCAGATTATCTCATGTATTGACCTTAGCTTCTCCACGCATATTAAAAAGTTGTCCTTTTTAACAAATTTAAAGGACATTTCAAGATTTCCAATACTTACATACCCTTGTTGTGTTATTGTTATGTGCTGTTGAGCCACTTATGACTCATAGTGACCCTATGTATAGCAACTCTGATCCCTGCTCTATCTTGAGCCAATTTCATTGTCTCTGACACACCTACAGCCACTATCCCAGTCACTGAGTCATTCCATTACATCTAGGGTCTTCCCTTCTTGCACTGTCCCTCCATCCTTCTAAGCATGATGTCCCTCTCCATGGACTGCTCCCTCCTGGCCACATGTCCAAAGTATGTGAGACAAAGCTTTAAAATCCTTGCTTCCAAGGAGTAGCCTGGTTTCACCCTCTCCAGGCCTGATGTGCTTGTTCTCTTAGCAGTCCACGGTATATTCAATACTTTTATTGGTTAAAATTAAGAGCGCCGGAGTGGAAGGCCCTCTATGAGGTGGATTGATTCAGTGAATGGGATAATCGGGATGGGAGTGTCAGAGACAGTGCGATTGGCACAGGACAGAGCAGAGTTTAGGGCTGTTGTACATAGGGTCGCTATGAGTCGCAAGTGACTCGACGGCACATAACAACAACAACAACAACAATTGTTTTCCACTTTTTTAGATTATATTGAACTTAAAGAAAGATTATATCGAACTATTTCAAAATAGTATCTTCTCAATTGTGAGTAAATCGATAGGTTTCTTGTCACAAAGAGACACTATCCATTTATATACAATATTGCACATAATTTCAGTTAAAGAATATCACTTTTTGAGGTTAGAGTTTGCCACTAAAAACACACCAAGGTGACCAAATAAGAGGCAAAACACATAAGTGTAGTAATGGCTCTAATATTATCTCTATTTTACAGAATGACAAAAAACCCTACATGCCTTTTGACTTTAAAGCGCTGTTGCCATGACCCTGAGACATGTGGTTAAAATCTATCTAGTGAAAACATTAAGTTCAGATTATTTGTTACCATATATAGAAAACTGAATATAGAAAATTTAGGCAATAACATTTAAATTTTGTTTGTTTTGCTCAAAGAATCAAACTGCATTTCATTTTCCATCCCTTGGGTGCTGTGTCATACAGTCCCTTTTGTGTTTAACTAGGATAAAAAACAAATGAGAGTCTTCATTTAAATGCAATACTTCTATCAGGAAGGCATCTCCCTGCCAACTCCAAGTTGCCTCTGGATAGCCTTTGAGTGAGAGTGACTGAGAGAGAGCGTGCAAGGGGACCAGCAGGGACTTCCACATGCTGCCTTCAGTAGTGTTGTTGTGATTGGCAGCCTAGAACCTCCAGTCTCAGCGCAATGTGGTGCACCCAGCTCTGGGGGTAGATTCTAAGATAACGAGCCAGCAGTGGTGGGTCAAAAAAATTCACCATAGGTGTGATGGAATCTTGATTTCCCTGAAAAACCTGAAAGAGGGAAGAGAGCATTTATTAGTCATCTGACAGGAAACAATTATACCCTCCTACTTTATCAGTCACTGTCCTCCCCCAATGTGGACCCTCTCTCTCCATGTTAACATCGGTCATAATTCCCATCTCAAATGTGTGATGTAGCCATTGCTCCCAACAGTCTTGGGAGATGACTGCATGACTCCATGTCAGATACATCATCCCGAAGTTAAAATACTCTGAATATTGAATATTCTGCCCTACTTTGCACAGTGACACCTTTGCTCCCCACTCCCACACTGTGCACTTGCAGGAGGAATACTAACTAAATATTGAAGAAATGGTAGCTACTGATAGTAGTAAGGGGGCTCTGGTGGCCTAGTGGATAAGGAGCTGTGCTGCCAGCCCATAGGAAGGAAAGTGGTTTGAATCCTCCAGCTGCTTCATGGGAGAAAGACGAGTAATCTCCTCCAGTGGGGTTTACTGTCTCTGAAAACCTGCTGGAGGGTCAGCTATGGGTTGGTTCCAACTCAAAGTCAATGAATTTGAGATTTTGAGTTAGTTAGTAGTCAGACATGTTAATTCCACACATATAGGTAGCAACCTTTGAATGAGAACAAAAGCTATATTACAAGAATTGGACAACTTCTCACTCTGGCCTTTGGACGTCAGCTCCTCTGTGAGGCAGCTGAAGTTCTGAGAAAAGGAAAGGGTGTTTTCTTTCTTTCTTTCTTTCCTTCCTTCCTTCCTTCCTTCCTTCCTTCCTTCCTTCCTTCCTTCCTTCCTTCCTTCCTTTCTTTCTTTCTTTCTTTCT